GCATCTCCAATGAAAGCATGCTGCGAGAGATGGTTGGAGCCGTCTCACGAATTTCGAACTGGTGGTAACTACATTACCTCCGACAGCAAACAAAACAAAACTTGTCCATTCCTCCTCCCTGACTGTCCCACTCTGACTCCTGTCTGTCTTAGTTAGGGTTACAGGGGGAATCGAGATTGTTCTATCCACTCCCAGATGAGCACCTGTACAGTCCCTTGCTTTGGGGACTGGCTGTAGACGCCGCAGGATAGATTTGATACCGAGACCACATCTTTCGGAAGTGAAGCAGCTAACTAGCTGGGCCACTTCAGGATCCTAACCGTCTTGGGATAGTGTTTGTGTCAGATTTTCCCGCGCTGAGGAAATGTTCTGTCTGTCACTGAAGTTGTGGTGGGATTGGCTAGGGTAGGGTGTGACCTGTGGGGGCAACTCCGTTCATTCTCTCTCAACACCTAAAAAACGATTTATATCTTAATGTGACCGTTCAGAACATAAACTACGTCATTGAGTTGTGGATTCATAACAACTCCCACGCAGCCTCCATGCATCTCGTGCTGCATTGCGCTGCCAACTTGAATCGCCTGTATCAGAACATCTCCGGTCAAGTTACCCATACTGGGATCCAGTGTAAAATCTAGGTGCTCTCAGGTAACTCGCGCCGCCTGAGAGGCACGCATGCTGTTCCTAGCTCGTAGCTCGTATGCAACTAATACACAATGGTCGCCATGTTTTCAGACAAACAATCAGACTCTAACTCTGTGTCCGCAAAGAGGAGTCCCCTGCGTCCTGGTCGAACCACATTTCCCATTCTATACAAGCTTCCATCACGAGCGCGCGGAGGGCTATCCGTTTTCGCCATACTCGCAGTCCTCACAGCCACCGTTATAATCACGCACAGCAGCCTGGGAGGCGTCGTTTCTACTGGCATCAACCCCAGCAAAGCCGTGCGCTGGATTACGCGATATACACAGAATCTGACGGCTCAGATCGCCTCACACCGGGAAATAAACACGCCTCTTGTAACTTCGCCAGAAGGTCGAGTAGTTTGTTGGTGGTCCGGCGCACATGGCGGCTATTCAGGGCTGGAAGATTTAGCAGCGGAGTTAACAGAGCGGAAGAGGAGGAAGGGAGGTGTGATAGTATCGGGGTCTGGCTGTGCTCGCTGCACGGTAGGCGAGCTCTGCGCGTTTGACATCGATATAAGAACACCAGCGGGGTGGGATGTGACCCCGCCACCCGATATTATCGCCGTGGCGCGCGGCGCGACGGCCAATCTCACGCTCAACGTGGATCGAACCAGCAATAATGCGAACTCCAGCGGATATCACAGCGGGGATCACGCCGCGAATGGCGGCGGAGGGGACGAAGGGGACGACGGCCCATGGAGCGGAAACGGAAGTGCGATGGGGGTGGGTGATTCTAGAGAGTCTCTTGTAGTGCGTCTGGTGGGCCCAGCGTTAGCGGCAGCGGATGTGACTAAAGAGGGGGGTGACATTAGGAAATGGAGAGTTTCTTACCGCGTGTGGGATTCAGGAAATTACAGCGTGCTCCTTTTATCAGAATGTGGGAATCTGGACTTCACCCCCAACAGCACTGAACGCGCCCTAGGCACGGTGGCTGAATGGAACCTCACTGTGCTCCCTAGCGCTGTTCCTGCTCATCCATCCCCCGCCATAATCTCATCCCCTGATTCAATCGCATTCAACAGTTCAGTCGGATCTGCATTGCCAGGCACTGACTCTCCTGCGTACACCACTACCGAATCCTCAGACGGAACTGACTATAACGAGTACCAGGACACCCCATGCGACCACTCAGCGTACGGCCGGTGGCTCTTCGACCCGCCAAAGGGCAAGTACACGTGGCAGCTGTACCCTTGCGCGAAGCCCCTCCCGCCGCCCTCTGAATGGCTCAGCGCGCTTCAGTCTCGGGGCATCTACGAGATCAACATCGTGGGCGATTCCCATCAACGGTTCCTGTTCAACCACCTCTTTTTCCTGCTCACAGGGAAAGCACACGTTTCCCAGTCGAAGGTCCATCATGATATGAAGCACATGATCGTGCCCTCCCCCGCTCGCTCTCCACCTTCTTCTGCTCCTGCTCCTGCTCTTGGGCCTGAAACCCCTGCTGCTGCTGCTGTTGCCTCTGTTCCCACTGGTGACGGGGCGTCACTCGGAATGAGCAGTCTGGCTGCAGAGCAGCGGCCGTTGAAGCTCAACTTCTACTGGATTGCCGGGATCTACAACATCGGGCAATACGGATGCAAGTAAGTGCATCCAGCACCCTGCATGAATTTCTGGTTCTACTTTTTACAATCTCTACTGCATTGTCGGGATTACAACATTGGGCAGCACGGCTGCAAGTAAGTGCACCCAATGCTGCATGCAGAGGAACCAAGTGGTTCTTAGGAAGTGGTCCGCCCCGCTTTCTCATGCCTCCCTCTGTCTTTGGAAGGCCGTGTGCCGTGTCCGGCCCTCTTCAGGCAGTTGACATCTGCACATAGACACTTGGACAACTGTCTTCGCGAACGATCCTTATCATTGTATAGAGTGAACAGTGCAGCTGTATTCTTGTCCCTCATGTGAGTGCTTGTGTGTTTATGTGTGTGTGTATGTGTGTGTGTGTGTGAGTGAGTGTGTGTGTGTGTGAGTGTGTGTGTGTGTGTGTGTGTGTGTGTTTGTGCATGCGTGCATGTCCATGCATCTGTTGTTTCATGCGTTCATGTCGATGTATGGCTGTTCCGGCATGCACGATTGTCCATGCACGTCCGTTGGTGCATGCATGCATGTCGATGCATCAGAAGTTTTTCGAATCAGGGCCGGCCATTCCCAACCATATCACCAGCAGCAGACGTGACCATCATTAGCTGTGGCACGTGGATCCATGGGTTCTGTGACATGCCTGAGAATGCTTTTGGGTTCTTATCCGTGTGTGTGTTTTGTGTGTCCATGTGTGTCCATGCCTTTCCATGGGTGCAGGAAGAAGTTTTCGAATCAGGGCGGCCCATTCCCAACCATCTCATCAGCAGCAGACGTCACCATAATCAACGGAGGCACGTGGATCCATGGCTTCTGTGACGCGCCTGAAGATGCTTTCGGCTTCTTCCTCCCTAGGTTCCTGCGCTGGGCTTATTTGCAACTGCAGGCGGCTCGAACGTGGCAAGTGGCGAGAGAGCGGCTGCTTGAGCTTATAAAGCAGAAAAAACTGCAGCAGGAGCGGCAGCGGCAGCGGCAGCGGCGGCTGCAGCAGGCGCAGGCGCAGGAGCAGGAGCAGCAGGCAGTTGCAGGAGGCGACGTAAACGAGTCTCCAAATGCCACTTCTGAAGCAGGTAACAAGGGCTCCAGGGGCCCGTGGCTGCTGTACCGAACCATACCTCCATTACCACGTACTGGTTTTTGCCGTTATGGGTCAAACAGTCTCGTATCTCATTTGAATAACGTGGCAATTGCACATCTGGCACGATATAGAATTGGGCTTTTAGATGGGCGGCATGTAGAGGTGCCAAAGATGGGAGACTACTGTAGCACTCGCGATAACCACTACAGCTGTTTCAGACACCGCCCGAAGTTTGGGAAAGGGAAGGGAATTTATGAGGGTGATGTAGGCGAGGCTATGGTGTACATGACGATGTATCATTTGTTAAATCTGTTAGAATGATTCTCTCCTTTCTTTTAACAGGGAGGGACTCGCTCTCATTACAGCCATTTTTGCTTACTTGTTTGCATACTGCACCTTGTTTTGCTTTCTTCTACTCAAATTTGAAATTTGTTGAAATTCAAAACTTTTGCGCATTGATTGTATTTTACCGATGTCTGTTTACAGTGATGCTCTTGCGCCAAGCCGCGTCAGTTTGGGTGAAGCCCGTCAGCGTTGCCCGAGAAGTGCTGACTCATCCTCAAAATACCATTCGAGACTGTGATGAAATTGGGGGGAAATTCTTCTTCCCTCCAATTTCAACCTGGTCTTCATCGCCTCACCCCCCTCGTCCCCCCCCCCACCCCTTTTCTGAGCTCACGTTTTGAGGAAGCCCAGATTTTCGTCAGTCTGTTCGTGGATATCTTTGTCAGCGGTTCAGTCAGTACATGAAAATCTTCGAAAGCCGTTCAGTCAGTACAAGAATATCTTCGTCAGCCATTCAGTCCATTGACATTCGCGGCCCGTCAGAGGCAAACCAGCGCAGTGACAGAAGAGGTCAGCGGTGTCAGTAACATATGTCATGTGACATACACCCTGGGAGGGACTTAGTGACTTTAGGTAAGCTTTTGCGTAGAAAAGCCCACGGATGCTCGCGCCCACCCCTTAAGAGATTGAGTCGTTCTTTCGGTCACATTCACTTGTTCTTGCAAGAGCAAACGATGTTCGTTCTTCCGGTCACCCATTCCCATTCGGACATTGTATCCGCAAAAAGGATTCCCCTGCGTCCTGGTGGAGTCGCATACGGCGTGCTATCTGCCTTCGCTTTAGTCGCAATCCTCACGGCCTCTACAATCACGCACATCCTGAATGGCGACTTTTCAACTGCCAGTTGCTTCAACGATAGCAAGGTCGGGAGGTGGAGTCGTACGCGACACGAGGAGAATTCGACTCCTCAAAACGACTCACGCCGCGGCATAGTAAGCAACCCGATCAACAACTCACCGGTAGATCGAGTTGTGTGCTGGTGGTCCGGCGACCATGGCGGATATTCAGGAATGGAAGAATCTGCAGCGGGGGTACCAAGGAAGAACCTCTTGCACAGGAGGCCTTCCGGGAGGGGAGGTGTGATAGTATCGGGGTCCGGTTGTGCTCGCTGCACGGTAGGCGAGCTCTGCTCGTTTGACATCGATATAAGAACACCAGCAGGATGGGATGTCACCCCGCCGCCTGATTTAAGCGACGTGATGCGCGGTGCAACGGTCAAACGTTCGCACAGCAGGGTTCGGACCAGCAATAACGCTAGCTCCAGCGGAAATCGCGCCGAGAATCACGCCGGCGGAGAATCATGGAGCGGAAGGGCGGTGATGGGAGTGGGTGACTTTAGGGAGTCTCTTGTGGTGCGCCTGGTGGGGCCGGCGTTAGCGGCAGCGGATGTGACTAAAGAGGGGGGTGACATAAGAAGATGGAGAGTTGCGTACCGAGTGTGGGACGCAGGGAATTACAGCGTTCTCGTTCTTTCAGAGTGCGGAAGTCTGGACTTCACCCGCAACAGCACTGAACGCGCCCTAGGCACGGTGGCTGAATGGATCCTCACGGTGTTCCCAAGCGTTGCCAATGTTCCTTCATCCTCAGTTTTTATCCCATTCGCCGATTCAAGCACATCCAACGATTCAATCAGAATCGAATCCCCAGGCGAAACTGACTATAAAGAGTACGAGGACACCCCATGCGACCACTCAGCATACGGTCGGTGGCTCTTCGACCCACCAAAGGGCAAGTACACGTGGCAGCTGTACCCGTGCGCACAGCCACTCCCGCCGCCCTCTGAATGGATTAGCGCGCTTCAGTCTCGGGGCATATATGAGATCAACATCGTGGGCGATTCACATCAACGGTTCCTGTTCAACTACCTTTTCTTCTTGCTGACAGGAGAGGCGTATGCATCCGACGCCAAGAAATATGATGATATGAAGCGCGAGGTCATGCCCTCTCGACCCCCCTCTCCGCCTCTTCCTCCTCCCTCTCCTCCACTTCCTCCTCCCTCTCCTCCCGCTCCTTCTGCTTCATCCCCGGCTCGTCCCACGATCTCAGCGTCAGATCCGGTTTCTGGAACCTTTGCTCCCCCCTCTCCTTCTGCCGCCTCTGCTCCTGCTGCTGATGTGCCTGCCACCCCTGCTGCTGCCACCACTGCTCCTGCTGCCAAGGGGGCATCACACGGCAGCAACAGCGGTCAAGCTGCAGAGCTGCGGCCGTTGAAGCTCAACTTCTACTGGCTCGCCGGGATCTACAATGTGGGGCAGCACGGATGCAAGTAAGTGCATACATGCGGAATTCGGCTTGCAGAGAAACGGGAAGGTTCATAGTAAAGAAAGGAGTAAATATTTTGCAGCACGTTTCAATGTTCGAGCAAGCTATAACAGTCGTATTTTCCTGACCGCCTGATTCGTGTCGCCCTCTCTGATGGGCCGTTGGTTGTTGTTGTTTGTTTGTTTGTTTGTTTGATTTTTTTGCCGTTATATTTATTTCTTTCTGACTTTCGTGCTCAAGCTCGGAATTACTCCTGACTCGCGATTTTCCGTGTCAATCTTTGCCGAAGTGCAACGAAATTTGTACGCCATACCCAGCCCACTCCAGATGGGGCACCTCAATATCCAGCCCTTTCCTGGCAACTGACTTGACAGGTGCCATTCAGCGACAGGTACCACTCAAGTCTGTGCTGTCTTCATGTCTCTCTGTGTGTTTGTGCACTGTGTGATTGCAGGAAGGGGCTCCTGAAGGACGGCCGGTGGTTTCCCAGGTTCTCACCAGCAGCAGACGTCACCATTATCGACGGAGGATCATGGACCCATGCATTCTGTGAGACTCCCTTCGATGCATTCGGACTCTTCCTCCCTAGGTTCCTACGCTGGGCCTATACGAAAATGCTGCTGGTTCGAAAATGGCAGATGGCGAGAGAGCGTGTTTCTGAGGTACTGAGGCAGAGAAATCAGCAGCAGCAAGAGCAGGGGCAGAAACAGAAGCACGAGCAGGAGCACGAGCAGCGACAGCAGCAACAACAGCAGGAGGAGCAAGAGCAGGGGGGGGAGGAGCAGCAGGGGGCAAGTGCAAAAGGCAACAGCGTCAAAGAGTATTCGAGTGCAGCATCCGAAGCAGGTAACAAGAACTCCAGAGGGCCGTGGCTGCTCTACCGTACCATCCCTCCGTTACGACGTAACTCTTTCTGCCATTATGGGTCAAACAGCCTTATTTCACATTTAAATCTCGTGGCCGTTTCCCATTTGGCAAGATATGACATCGGGCTTTTAGACGGGCGAAGTGTAGAGATGCCAAAGATGGAAGACACATGTAGTGCTAGCGATAATCATTACACTTGTTTTAGACCCAGCCCAAGACTTGGTGAGGGGAAGGGGATTTACGAAGGTGATGCAGGGGAGGCAATGGTGTACATGACGATGTATCATTTGCTAAATTTGTTGGATTGAATCTCTAACCTGATCTAAATCTGTGTTGATTTTCATTAGTGTGTGTGAGTTGGAAGCTGCTTTTGCTGTTTTCACCACCCAAACAAGATTCTGTAATCGAACCGTTCTGCACCACAAAACATACACCAGAACTTGAGCCGTTCTCAATTCTCGAGGTTGTCAAATTGATTCGAGTCCCTTCAGATTTCTGCCTTGGTGTTTCTGAAACTCTTGCTGTGCCCATCACTTGCAGCTTCCACGGTCTCATATCAGAAGCATTTCCTATCCCGTGTGTGTTTCGCTTCATGCCTTGACCTCCTGATGTAACTCCGTTTTATCCGCAGCACGCGATACGCCATTCAATTGCATCGGAAATGGGGCCTTCGAATCCGCTCTTCTCGCCGTCACCTGCGGCGCTGTCCTTCCTGAACTCCCACTTTCAGCGGCTCGACGATCTCTCGCTCGCGCCAAATCTCCTAGGCAATCTCTCCTCGGAGATTAAAGACCTAATTTTTCAGAAAGATGCGCTCTGTTCGTCTCTCGCCTCCTCGCTCCAACCCGCAGATGACGACAACGTCCGAACCAGCAGCTCCAGGCTCGGCGAACCCGAGCCTGATGCTCGTCCGGGAATCGTTTCATCCGTGGCTGCTCGCGCGCTCCAGTCCATAGCAGCCACGTCAGAACGAATAGAAGAATGCCACGTGCGCGCCTTCGTGGCGGCCGCTGACGTGCAGCCGATGGTGGATCGGCTTGCCAGGCTGGCAGCTGAGGTGGCGAGATGCGAGAGGGTTAGAGGATACGTCGAGGTGGTGATCGGTTTTGAGCGGCAAGTGGGAGATGTGGAGGAGAAAGTGGGAATGGCAGTGGGACTATGGAGGAAAGAAATGGGTTCTGCTGCTTCCGCCTCTGCCTCTACCTCTGCCGCTGCTGCAGCCTCTTCTTCCGCCGCTACTACTGCCATTGCTGCTCCTGGCGCTGGTGCTGGTGGTGCTGGTCCCGTTGTCACTGCTGCTGCTGCTGCTGCTTCCCCTGCTGCAAGTGCCGCCCCCGTCACTTCCAGGAAGCAGCCGTTCCGAAACCCTAAGCTCCTTTCCTCCCTCCGCACCGCCTCTCACGCCGTCCTCACCGCATCCAACCGCTCCGCGTCCACCTCGCGCCAGCACCCGGCCTGGTCCCGCTTGCTGACAGCTGTCGATCTGCGATTGGACGCCGCGACTGCCGCCCTGCTAAGCCCTCTGATGGATTGTTACAGGGGGTGTCTCGCTGCTGCCAGCTGGCCTCCTCCCCTCAGGAAAGGAGGTGGAGGAGGAGGAGGAGGGGAAGAAGGAGCAGCAGTAGGTGCTCCTGCTGCTGCTGCAGGTTCAGCACTGGATCGGCTTGTTGGACCTGGAGGCGATTTTCGGGCCGAGTTCACGAGCCTGTTTTTGGCGCTGTGCTCCCTCCAGCATGCGCAGAAGGTGAGGCGAGAAGCAGAGCAGGTACGGATTCGAAGCGAAAGCGAGGTAGCATATATGGAGGATGGAGAGGAGGAAGAGGAGCAGGAAGAGGAGGAGGAGGCGGACCTAGAGAATATCCAGAACCTTGGAAATATCCAAGTAGAAGAGCCGTTGCTATGGGGGATGGATGAGCTGGTTCAGCCAATAGCGTCGCAGGCCCGGCCTCCTTTCGACCAATGGGGAGCGAGCGGGCGGACGGAGTGGGCCTTTGCGCTGACTCTCCGTGTGGCGTTGACTGGCGTTGACTCGTTTGACCTGGCGCTACAGCCGCTGGTGGACGAGGATGGGCTCACAGGGGTGAGTGTGCGGGAGGGCTGGGTTCGGGCTGTGGTTCGGATTCTCCCGATCCACTTTCTGCGGAGGACCGTCGTGCCGAACCTGGCTGAGAAGCTTCTGGGAAGCGCAGGGGTTGGAGGAGAAGGAGGTGGGGGAGGGAAGGGGGAGGAAGCTTGGGAGGAGGATCTAAGTGAGAACAAGGAGAGAGCAGCAGCAGCAAGGGAGTGGCTGCGAGTAGTGAGTGAGTGTATCGCCTTTGACTCTGCCATGTCTCGCCTGCTGGTCTTCAGCTCACCTGCTTCTTCCGCCGGTGCTGCTGCGGTCACTCCTGGTGTTGCCACCGACGCTGCTGCTGCTGCTGGCGGAGCTGCTGGTGCAGGAACAGCAGAATCTGCCAGTGCAGATCTCCCCGTGCCAGCTTCAGATTTCTGGGCGGCACTGCAAGTGGATCCCACAGTGGGAGTCTTCGCGGAGCGACCTGATTGGCTGCTGCTCTGGATCCAATTGGAGCGGGCCAGCGCACACAGGGGCGTGCTAGCTGTCATGGGCAGGGACGCTTCCTGGAAGGTTCCACGGGATGGGGAGGACGAGGCAAGCATGGGGTTGCAGGAGTTGACCTCTACTGGCCTACTGCTGAATGTGGTTGACCGTTCTGCAGCAACGGAAACAGCAGGAAAGGGAATTGTTGAGTTCCGACCGCCGCCCGTTGCTCTGCAGCTGATTGAGATTCTCCGGGCGGCAGTTTCCCGATGTGGGCGGCTTTCTGGGACTGTATCCGAAGGCACTGCAGCAAGCAGCACTGCAGCAGCCAGCAGTGACAGTAATGAGGGCAGTGGCGCCAGCACTAGCATTACCAGCCCCAGGGCCATCGGCCGGGGGCGGCAGCGCCTGTCTTTTGCCGAGGGACTCTGCCGCCCAATTCTCTCGGCGTTTTTGAAAGAGACGGAGCAGAGAGCGGACGAGATAGAAGCAGAAGGAACCCTGACGAGAGACGGGGATTTGGAGGATATGGCTGGGTGTGCCAATGCTGCCAGGTTTGTGGCTCATGCCCTGGGGACGTGGCAGGATGAAGGGTTTCTGGTGGAGGCATGGGAGGAAGGGAAGAGGGAGAGGAGGGAGAGGCAGGCGAGGAAGAAGGTGAGGGAGCCTCCTTCGCAGCAGAGGAAGGAGAGCCAGCAGCAGCAACAGCAGGAGAAGGAGAAGGAGAGAGAGCAGGCTGAAGTTGCAAGAAGGCGAACGGTAGAAGGGGAGGATCAGGAGCAAGAGCAGTGTGAGGAGGAGGGAGGAGGAGACGGATGGGAGCTACTGGATGCTGAAGAGAACGAGAATGAAGGCGAGCAACGACAACAGCATCAGCAACGCCAGCAACATCAGCTGGGGGAGAACCAGCAGAAGAATCAACTGGAACGGCAAGAAGAGCAGCGTGCAGGGAGACAAGCAGACCAGCAAGCAGAGCAGCACATGCACCGCATTCAGGCCCTACTAGACCAGTTCGAGGGTCCCGGGCCGGACCTCTTCTCCTCTGAGCTCCACCGCCTCTCCGCCCTGCACTCCACGCTCGTCGCCAGGCTGGCGACAGCTGTCGCGCGCGGATTCGTCTCCCGCAGTGCAGAGTATCCCCGTGCCATTGTGCGCGTCCAGGCCCCTCCCCTCTCCCTTCCCTCTCCACCCTCTCCTCCCTCTCCACCCTCGCCTCCTTCCGGCGATGCACACTCTCTCTCCCACTCCTCCACCTCCCTCTCCTCCGCCTCCCTCGCCCTCTCCTCCTCTCTGGTCGATGCTCTCACCTTTCTCCGCCTCCGCTTACTCTCCGCCCGCCACTCACTCGACGCGGCTCTCTTCTCCTCCTTCTGGCGCCACCTCGCTGCCTTCCTGGACAGGTACCTAGTGGATAAGGTCGTGTTGGGACGAGAGGTGAGCGTAGGCGTAGGTGTGGGCGTGGGGGTTGGGGTGGGGGCTACAGAGGTGGCTGGAGGGGGAGGGGTTGGAGGAGGTGGAAGGGTGGGCAGAGGAGGGCCAGGTGTTTTTTCAGATGATTTGGGCTCTCGGAGTAAGAAAAATGTGAAGAAGAGTGCTGGTGGTGGGACGGGGCTTGTGTTGGGCAGCTTGAAGTTTTCGGAGCGGGCCGGGCAGCAGTATTCGTATGACATGCAGGTGGTGGTGTCTGTGTTTGAGATCACCACCCCCCGCCCACTGAACTTCTTTAAAAGGACGAGAGACGCCGCCCGGCTGATGGCCATGACAGATAGAGACGCCAACGGGTTACTGTTCATGTTGTCGCTGGTGAGTGGGTCTGGGGCAGCATCGTCTTCATCCTTGTTATTATCTTCTTCGTCAAAAGCACTGGCGTTGGCCAGTGCAGCTATAGGGGCTGCTGGGGTGGCTGTTGGTGCTGGTGATAGGGATTTCAGTACTGGCAAGGATTCAGGGGTTGATAGCCCAAAAGCCAGAGTGCAGCAGCAGGAGCAGCAGCAGCAGGTGGAGGAGGAGAGGCAACAGAGGGCGGCAGCAGCTTTGAGGCGGAGAGGGATTTTGCATTTACAGGCAGGGGAAGTGAAAGCTGTGCTGGAGAGACGTGCTCTGCCAAAAAGGTAGCTGGTATGGTTCATAGAGTCAAACTAGACTTGTGAAAAGCTGGTAAAACCTTGTTTTGTTTGGTCTTGGTTGGCTTGTTGGACTGAACTGAATGATTTTACCTTAAAAGGTGTACCTTGTGTCGTTTGGTTTGTCTGTATATCCATGCAATATCAGTTGCAATGCATGGGTGTGGCATTTGAGATGCACAACTTTATGCCTTGCATCGTAGGTGATGTGCACTTGGGCAACAGAGGAGGTTGAGTTGAGGGTTTTGGGTATTGCAGATGAATTCGCATCACTTTCTGTACAAGTTGTAGTTACTCGATGGTCCAAGTGTATCTATCCGCACTATTGTGGCAATTTCTCAGCAAGCTCTTGTCCACTGACAGATGTCTGCTGGCACCCCCTCCGGATCGCGATCAGTGCGGTTCGTACTGCCACACCGCACCTTGCGTTTCGCCCAGATTTGTGCACCGCATTGCGTCGAATTGACGCCACAAGCGGGGCACTTGGCGCATGATGGAAAGCCGCCCATTTCCTGGTGTTTCCAAACCAAACCACGGCACACCCAGCTGGGTTCGCCTACTTCGTGTGGTTCCAGCGATCTTCGCATCTGTCGCGAAATCACAGTTACACTGTTTCGCATACCTCTGCTGCACCATCCTCTCCCATCCTCCAGCACGCCATTCACTGGACCATCACAGCACTGAAACCTCCACCTTGATCAGCGCCCCTTATTTCTACTGGTGCTGCTGATCAGTGCATTTCTGTTCATCAGAAATTGCGTCCAAGCCGCAATGGCTCCCGTAGTGCTGCCTCTGGTCAAACGGAGGGAAGGGGGCGTGTACTAAACCGCGGCAATCTCGTACCGAACATTCAGAGTGGCGAGGCACACGGCGGCATACAGCAACCTCGCCCATCCCACCAGACCCAGTGGTTGCTGTTCACGCCAGTATGTCATTGTAGAAGGGGGTGCGGTTGAGCAATTGTGAGAATACTAAAAAATGGAGCCCTGTGTAAACCAGCAGATCGACAGCTTCACGAGTGACGTGTAGAGCAAATCAGCGGCAAGCCCGCGTCGTGACCTTCGAGTCGACTCAGAAGTCAGCTCCGATCTCCATCGGTTTATCTGACAAGCTCCTATGATACGAGTGACTTCCCCGTCGTAGAGTTAATCGGCGGTGACGCCGCTTCGTTTGATTCGTTTGCTCAGCATCTACTTTCCCCTTTGTGCTACTTGCAGCGAGTTTTGCCAACCTCTCACGATCTCTCGCGCTCTCTCGCGCTCTCACGCGCTCTCTCGCACTCTCTCGCGCTCCATCGCTCCCTTCCGAACGCGATGATCCCTAGAGAGGCGCGGCCACAGCGGCCAATAGCTAGCACGTTCCGGCTACCCAAGCTTGTGTCGCTCGTCCTAGTCTCCGCGCTCGTTCTCTCCGTTACAGAACGAACGCATGCAGGACGATTCTTGACGGGGAAGGGGTTGAAAGGAGGGGATGAGACCAGTGGGTCGTCGTTACGTATCCTAGACGAGGTGCTTCTAGAGAAGGGTGTTTCGGTCCTTGTAACGGTGCTCCATGATAAGGGGGATGCTGAAAAACAGAAGAAAAAGAAAGAGAAGGAGAAGGAGAAGGAGAAGGAGAAAAAAGACAAGGAGAAAAAAGACAAGGAAAAGCAGGACAAGGAAAAAGCGAGCAGTGACAAGACGAGCGATGTTGGTGCGGGCGCTGCTAAACAAGTACCTGCTAAAGGGGATGCTATTAAAGGGGGTGCTGTCAAAGGCGATACTAAACAAGATCCCAAGGCAGGTTCAACGGGACCGAAGGAGCAAGGTGTCGACAAGCCGCCACCTGCCGACGAGGCGTCAGGGAACGGAAATGGGACAAAAGTTTCGCAGCCTCTTTCGCCAAAAGAGTCGCCCGGTGAATCGCCAGACGCGCCTTCCAGCAACCAGTCGCAGGAGTCGCAGAAGTCGCAGGGAAGCTCGAAATCGCCTGCAGCAACGCCGGAAAATCCGCCTGCTAACGAAGCAGCGTCGGGAGCGAAGCCCGTCGATGGTGCCGGCGACGAGTCAGCGCCGAAACCGGCACCTGAACCCGCACCGAAACCTGCACTGCAACCGGCGCCGGAACCGCCGCCGGAGCCGGCGCCGGAACCAATCCCAGCCGTAGATGCTGATCCCAATTCGAGTTCAGATGGCGGCGACGGTGGGGCCGCGGGAGAGGGTTCAGGGGACAACAGCAAGGGCGTGCAGGAGTGGAACGGAGGGTCGAAAGATGACGGAAAAGATGACGGAAAAGTAGACGGAAGCGATAGCGGGGGGCAAGGGAAGGGCGGGACGGAAACCGCCGGGTTCAGGATGAAAGGCGTGAAGCGCGCCGATTCCGCCAAGCCCCAGAAGATCGACGGCTGGTTCGCCATCCACGATGGCTACAGTGGCGCGGCTTCGGCGCTTAAGGCGGCTGACGTCATCTTTTATGGCGACTCGCTCATAGAGGTACTATAGATATTATACAGAGGGAGGCTGATGATACTGTAGAGAGGGCTTCCTGTGTGATACTATGGAGGGCTGAAAGAGGAAGGCAGTCTAAAATGGGTGCTGAAGTTGGGTTTCTTTTAATTTCTGTGCAGGGATGGAGTGAGAAGTTTCTGGGAAGGCAGCTGGGTCTCTACGCTGGTGTCAGGTGCGTTGCAGATTTGTTGTTCTCTCTCTCTCTCTCCCTCTCTCTCTCTCTCTCTCTCTCTCTCTCTCTCTCTCTCTCTCTCTCTCTCTCTCTCTCTCTCTCTCTCTCTCTCTCTCTCTCTCTCTCTCTCTCTCTCTCTCTCTCTTTCTCTCTCTCTCTCTCTCTTTTCTCTCTTCTCTTTGTTGGTGCCGCCGGCGAAGTGCGTGACTAAGAGTGTTGTTTCTAGCACTGGCTTGTTACGTTGGTGCACGCACCCACACAAGAGGGTTGTTTCTAGCATTGGCATGCACCTGCATTGTGTGCGTGCTTACGCTTGTTGATGTTTTGGCCAATTGTTGTCTAAGAATCCTCAACCATCGTTTCTGGGTGTGCGTGCTTCTGCTGCTGCTGCTGCTGCTGTGTGGCTGCAGCGGCGTGTTTGATGCTCTCAAGGCGTCTGTCGGTGTGGGGAAGGAGGTGCGGGCGTTCGGAATTGCTGGTGACACAACGGACGACCTTTTATGGAGGATAGAGGTGTGGACAATTATTTTTGTGTTTCTGAGAGTATTACTTTCTTGCCTACGCTACTCTGTCTTTTTCTCTTCCCCCTATCTCTTGCTCCCACCACCTTTCCATGCCCCAACGCTCTCTAATGACTCCTCTTTCCCTCATCGCCACTCGTCTCCTCTCCTCTCTTCTCTCCCCGTTCTTCTAATCCTCCCACCCACTCTTCCCCCTTGTATCTCCCTGACACCAGAACGGCGAGCGCCCATCCTCTCAGCATCTCGCTGGCGGTGCTCTGCGTGGGCATTAACGACGTTTTCCGAGAATTCTAAAAAAAATTGAGGTGCCTCAAAAGTCCTCTCTTCCCCTCTCCTCTCCTCTGCTCCCCCTTCCTCCCCACTTCTCACGCCGTGACCCCAACACCCAAGCAGAACGGCGAGCGCCCATCCTCACTTGGCATCTCGCTGGCGGTGCTCTGCGTGGGCATTAACGACGTTTTTGAGTCTGTTACTAACGGAGGCGTGGACGCCCAGGCGATCGCTAATAAGGTTTGGATAAATACGTTTTTTTTTTTTGCTCTAATGAATGGAAGTGTCGAGAAGAGAACAAGCGTTCAAATGTTCTTATGTAGAGATAGCTACTGTACATGAGTTTCAAGTTGTCTCTTATTGGATTCTGGTTACAATTTTAAGAATCGCCTGCTTCGTACAGTTGTGAAATAACTTCCTTCGAACCCCGTACGTTTCTTTGCAGATTGGCGATGTGGTAACCGCAATTCGCGCGTCACATCCCACCACGAAAGTGCTCGTCCTTGGCCTGTTACCCGAGGTGAGCTTTCTATCCAACAGCTTATGTTGACCATTTCAAGATGGCTGTAAAAACACTAGAACTTTGCAAGTAGCTGAAGCATTCCATGTAGGCTGAACTGGTCGAGAAGCATATGGGGGAAAGCAAAAAACACATAAAAGCAAATGAAAATAAAAAGTGCAAGTAACACGACCATGAGTTCCCTTTACTCAACCTCCCATCATCTCTCAACCCCCAGCTTGCTTCATCTCCCCTTCCCTCCCCATCCATCTCTCCTTCTCTTCTGTTTCGCCCTGGTTTCTCCTCCCTTTCGTTCAATTTCCACCCTCTTTCTCCCATTTCTACCCTCGTCCAACTTTTTTCACCCTCTCCCACCCTTTTCCTGTGCAACCCCTCTCCAGGTTTACCTCTCCAGACCCCCAGCCAGGGCAAGTCAACGCCATTCTCAAACTTCCTTCCACCCTCCTTGCACCCTGTTTCCACCCTCTTTCGCCCTCTTCCTGTGCGTCTCTTTCCAGGGATACCTCTCCAAGTCAACGCAACCAGACCCCCAGCCAGGGCAAGTCAACGCCGTTCTAGCACAGTCAATTCCAGGTCAGCTGCTGGCAACTGTAGTGTTTCGAAGAGCGAGTCAACGCGAGTCAACGCCATTCCAATCCTCACTCCACTCTCTTTTCATCCCATGAAGTCCGGAAATGTGCTGAATAGTAAACTCGGGGATAGTAAACTCTTTTTGAGGCCTAATGCAGCACATTCCATTCACACATACAGCGTCTTCTCTTGCTGCTCCTGCTGCCTTGATGCAGATGGCACGAGCACCTATTTCCTGGACTGTAAGGATGCGTTCCTTAACGCGGATGGCCTTCTGCTTGAAGACCATTACATCAATGTAAGACCATTACATCAATGTAAGACCATTACGTTTCCTGTACAAGTATAGCAAGGAGTTACGTAAGCATTCCATCTTTGAGTGGGAGTGCGTAGACAAATATCTAACGCACACTGTAGTGCTGTGCTGTTCTGTGTAAAATGCTGGAAAGGAAAGGTTACGTAACTAGCATAGCATTCGTTTTGTCTGCTGTAATTCCTGCTCTCTCTCCCTCTCTCCCTTACTCCCTCTCTCTCACTACATCTCTTACTCCCTCCTGCCCTCGCACAGGACTCCTTCCAGCGCCTGCACCTCTCAGCTGCAGGCTACGACGCATGGGCCAGGTGCATAGCCCCGCAGGCCCAGGCCATCCTGGGGTAAGTCCGACCCTTTTCTCCGACCCTTTCTATTGCACAACAACTCCGCTGATAGAGGGTCCGCAGGCTACAATGCATGGGCCAGATGCATCGCCCCGCAGGCCCAGGCCATCCTCAGGTAAGTCCGACCCTTTTCTCCGACCCTTTCTATTGCACAACAACTCCGCTGATAGAGGGTCCGCAGGCTACAATGCATGGGCCAGATGCATCGCCCCGCAGGCCCAGGCCATCCTCAGGTAAGTCCGACCACTTTCTATTGCACAACAACTCCGCTGCTAAAGAAACTATGGCATGCTTGGACCAGATGCATCGCCCCGCAGGCACTGGCCATTCTTGGGTAGCTCCCGCCTTGGGTTGCTTGCCCTAAACTGCATCCGACAAACTGAGTCGCTTTTGAGAATTCTCAAATAGGATATGGTCTGCAATATGCTAATCCCGTTTCAGATCTTGGGTCTTTCGCTTCTTATCTCTCTTGCAGCTTTCAGTACAATCATTCTGGCCCTCCATCCCCTCTTCTTCCACCAGTTTTGAGACGTCTCAAAACTAGGCCCTCCATCCCCTCTTCTTCCACCAGTTTTGAGACGTCTCAAAACTAGGCCCTCCATCCCCTCTTCTTCCACCAGTTTTGAGACGTCTCAAAACTAGGCCCTCCATCCCCTCTTCTTCCACCAGTTTTGAGACGTCTCAAAACTAGGCCCTCCATCCCCTCTTCTTCCACCATCTCCCCTCTTGTCCCATCCTCCCTCTTGTCTGTCTCCACCCTGCAGGGAGAAGCCTGTGGGTCTGCCCGTGGCGTCTTCTCCAGACCCGGGCACAGGCAGCAGCCCCAACGGCTCTCCTGGTGACTCTCCTACTCCTTCACTCCCTTCCTCCCCTTCTCCTTCCTCTCCCTCCTCTCCCTCCTCACCCTCCTCTCCCTCCCCTCCCTCGTCCCCCTCTCCCTCACCTTCGGACTCCTCCTCTCCCTCCTCACCCTCCTCTCCCTCCCCTCCCTCGTCCCCCTCTCCCTCACCTTTGGACTCCTCTCCCTCCTCACCCTCCTCTCCCTCCCCTCCCTCGTCCCCCTCTCCCTCACCTTCGGACTCCTCTCCCCCTACTGCATCTTCTCCTTCTCCCTCAACCTCCTCCCCCTCTCCTTCCTCTCCCTCCACTTCGCCCTCTTCTCCCTCTCCTCCCACTCCCACCAACACTGACCCTGCTTCCCCTCCCAAATCTTCTGACTCGGGCACGAAACCCCCCACATCATCCGATCCCCTCCCCACACCCCCACCCCCCTCCACCACTTCCCCTGATCCCCCCTCCAACTCAACTACCCCTGTAGAACCTTCCTCCCCTTCACCTTCTCCCAAAGGACCTTCCAAAGAACGTTCCTCCTCCCCTGTTCTCACCCCCCAAAATAGCTCCTACCCGACTCTCCCTAGGGAAATACCTGGCACCCTCACGCCCATTCCTTCCTCCGCTCCAACCCCCCCCACCTCCGCTCCAACCCCCCCCACCTCCGCTCCAACCCCCCCCACCTCCGCTCCAACCCCCTCCACCTCGGCTCCAACCCCCTCCACCTCTGCTCCAACCCCCTCCACCTCTGCTCCAACCCCTGTTATGGAATCTAACGATACCATGTCTCCTAAAAAAGAATCATCAACAGGGGTTGCTGATGGTGCTGGCTCTGGTGCTGGTGGCGCAACAACTGGTGATGGTGCTGCTGGTTCTGGTGTTGCTGGTGCAGGTGCTGGTGCCGGTGCTGCTGGTGTTGGTTCTAGTGTTGCTGCTGCTAGTGGCGGTTCGGCCATCCCTACAAGGCAAAGCCCAACGAAAGCAGCAGCAGCAGCGGAAGCCAACCTAGGCAGGTGGCAACTGCTGCTCAGTTCCCTCCTGGGCCTCACTTGTACTTTATTCTTGGGTGTGTGGTGATGGACGGAACCTATGAAAGGCTGGGCAGCAGGAGCTGCAGCTAGCTTTGGTGGGTGGCAACTGCTGACAGCTAGCACCCAGCTTAGACCCTCGGAGTTTTTCTCTAGGCCGTGCTCCCCGTGTTGTGATGTGTTATATGTAAGGATTAGTGCTGTGCAAGTTAGCTCCTTGGTGCATTGTAATGTAAGGCATTGTAAGTAATGAAGGCCCTTGTCTCTTGGCAAAAGCTATGTTGCGTACTAAGTGGATCTTCTCCTCATGCCCAAGGCCTGTAACTTGGAAAAATGTTGGTGCTAGTAGTGCTCATTTCTGTCTGATGACAGATCAGAGCTGGAGGAGATTTGGTGTCGTTTGAGGTGCCCAAAGTTGCTCCACTGATAAGCTGACTCTACAGTGGAGAAATGGTGGAGTGGGTAGTATTTCTGAAAAAATGTTGGAGGCTTCCAATCTCTGAAGTGAAGATTTGACATTTTTTTCCTAGGTTAAAATAGATGTCCTAGTACCCTCCTTTCTTTCATGTGAATAAATATGGCAAGATTATACAGGTTTCATATGGGCTGGTATGCATCAAGCACAATGTTTTGAGTTGTGTGTAATTAGGCGAAGGTATCTCAGCGTTCATGAAGGATACTGACTATCGGGGATGTTCTCGAGGTTCATCGAAATCTTCTCCCATAGAAAGCCCAAGGCCTGACGTGCAAATCTAGGTTGTGGATCCTAGGGTTCTCTCGAGCCAGGATACTAGTCTCCTCAGCTGGAAGTATTTTGGGTCAATTAGTTCGTTGTATTAGCACGCTATAATCTTCCGTTTTTCGTTAAGCACGACCTTACGCCGACCTTGAAACCTGCGTTTTCGAGTGCGAAGGAGGTTTATGCGCGATGCAGAGACGTTCCGCGTCACAGGTACGAAAGGTCTTGGTCAAGGTAATCAACCTGTGATAGGCATCGTCAGTTTTTGTGTAAGCTTAGGAATTCAACGCAGATATCAATTGTCACCTCATCTCCGGTTTCAATGGACTCAATAGAGGTAAGTTGAGTCTACGACCGACGTCGACGATTAATGCGTTACGTTAAGGACTTGTCGCTGGTATCAACGGGTATCACCTATATTTTTTGCCTCTTCCTTCTCGTTGTAATCGCCAAGGCATCGTGAAATAATGTCACTGTTCCTTTTTTTTTTTTTTTACCCACCCCGGTTCATCGGCCGGCCAGGATGATCGTCATTTCTCCTTCTCGTTGCCTCCCCCTTTTCTTCACCAGGATGACAATCACGTCGATCGGGACCGGTGGGATCGAGAGCGGGAGCGGGACCGGGATTGGGACTGGGACAGGGAACGCGATCGAGACCGAGACAGGGAGCGGGATAGGGATAGAGATAGAGATAGGGTAAGAGAAAGGGATCGAGACAAGGACTGGGAAGGGGACAAGGAGAGGGATCGTGGTGAGAGGGAACGAGATCGGGACTTGAGGGAGAGAGATTCAGACCGAGAGAGGGAGAGGGAGAGGGAGACTAGCCGGGAGAGGGAAAGGGAGCGAGAAAGGGACAGAGATAATGACTGGGACAGGGATAGGGACAAAGACAGGGAGAAAGATGGGGAGAGAGACGTTGGTTGGGTAGAAAAGAGCGAAAGCAGGGATTCGGGTCAAGAAGGGGATAAGCAACAGCAGTTGCCGCTTGACGAGTTCTTACAGTCCCAGCTGAAGGAGCAGCAGCAGCAGCAGCGGCTGGAACGCGAGAGAGAGCTTGAGTTGGAGCGGCAGCAGCGGATGAAAACGGAAGGAGGTGGAGGGGGAGGGGGAAGAGGAGGGGTTGGAGGAGCGGTAGGAGGAGGGGAGGGAAGGGGAGGGGGAGGAGGGGGAGCGGGAGAAGCAGGGAAGAGCAAGGGGCCTCGAGAAGCGAGACAGCTGTGGGTGGGCAACGTGACTCAAGATGTTACCGAGCGTGAGCTGTCAGACGCGTTTGGCCGCTTCGGCCAGGTGGAAGGCCTCGCGATTCTCTACCAGAGGGAGTTTGCTTACGTGGACATGGCCACGTCAGCACAGGCCAGCGAGGCGAGGCGGGTGCTAGCGGGGAATCCGCTGCGTCCGGGCCTGCTGCCGCTGAAAGTAGAATTCGCTTATGCCAAGGGGTCAACGGCGGGCGGAGGGGCACCACAAGTAAGTTGCCTCGGGTAATCTCAGTAGCCTCTGTGCTCGGGTCAGCTGCCGCTGAAAGGTGAGTTTGCTTATGCCATGGGGTCCACGGGCGGAGGGTCGGCGCTGGTAAGTTGAGGTGGCTTCTGGTGGCACAGGTTAGCAGATCTGGCATGTGACAGCGAGGAGGACCTGTGCTCCCACTCCGCCTGCACCTGCCCGCTTCTTGTACGCTGCATTGGCTGGAGGGCAATACAGCGGCAGCTGGGCCTGTTGGCTCTCTACTCGAGCTTATGTACATCCCTTTCCTTAACTCCCCTGGCCTTGGCACTGCAGCCGCTACCACCTGTCAGTCAGCCCAAGGAGAAGGAGAGGCCGCGAGCAGCAGGCGTGCGGAGGGTGGTGTGGGTGGGGTGGGGGCCGGCGCACGTGGTGCCCGAGGAGATCGACGCGGAGTTCCTGCGCTTCGGGCCCATCGAGGACCTGCGCTTCCACCCCGACCGCGCCTGCCCGCTGCCTCTCCTGGAATGCCTTGATTGAAGGGAGATGCGTGGGCACCTGGGCCTGTTGCCCCATTCTCAATTCCTGGATTTTTTCTGCCTTTGCTGCCCTGATTTCTCCCCTGCAGCCGCCGCCAGCCAGTCAGCCAAAGGAGAAGGAGCGCCCGGAGCGGCCAAGGGGGCCGGGGGTGCGGCGGGTGGTGTGGGTGGGGTGGGGGCCGGCGCACGTGGTCCCCGAGGAGATTGACGCGGAGTTCCGGCGCTTCGGGCCCATCGAAGACCTGCGCTTCCACCCCGACCGCGCCTGCGCGTTTGTGGACTACCGCTTTGAGGACGACGCTCAGGCCGCCGTGGCGTCGATCAACAACGTCCGCACGCGCGACGGAGGGGTGTTTCGTGTGGAGTTTGCGAAATCGGGCCCGCATGCCGGGGGAGGAGGAGGGGGTGGCGGCGGCGGCGGCAGTGGTAGAGGTGGTGGTGGTGGTGGGGATGGGTCTCCCAGCGAGATTCTCTGGGTGGGGTTTCCTAGCACGCTCACAGTCACAGAGGAGAGGCTCCACGCGGCCTTCTCCCAGCACGGGCAGATTCGGCGCATCAAGACGTTCCCGGGGCGCACGTACGCTTTTGTGGAGATGGGCACGTGCGAGCAGGCGACCAATGCGATCCGCGCATTGGACCATGTTCTGTTTAACGACGAGCGCGTTCATATCCGGTACTCGAAAAGCGAGTTTGCGTTCATGCATGCTGCAGACCCGCCCTTCTCTTCCCCTGCTGCTGCTGCTGCAACTGTCACCACAGGGCGTGCAGGTGGGGAGGCGGTTGGTGAGAGGGGCAGGCAGGGAGGTGGGCCAGACGGGCCTGGCGGTGGGGGGGTGTCTGGTGGTCCGTATGAGGTGGACCGGGGGTTTGGGGGGGATAGGGAGTATGGGCGGGGGAGAGGGAGGGGGAAGGGGAAGGGGAGGGGGAGGGTGAGGGGGGGAAGAGGAGGGAGGGGTAGGGGAGAGTGGGAGGAGCGGGATGGTGATGGGGCTTGGGAGTCGCCTCTTCGTGGGCCAGACAGAGGGGGGAGAGGAGGGGGGCGAGGCTGGGCTGATAGGGATTGGGAGAGGGAGAGGGAGGAGTGGGATAGGGGCAGGGAGAGGGACTGGGAGAGAGACGATAGGGATTGGCGGGACGAGCGTGATGGGAGGGACGGGTGGGACGAGAGGGACGGGTGGGACGAGAGGGACGAGAGGGATGAGAGGGAGTGGCAGCGGGGGTATGACTCCAAGCGTCCACGAGTGGACGGCCAGTTTGACCCTGAGAACCGCAGCCGCTACTACGATGAACGTGATGGGGGCCCTCCGCCACCTCCTCATGGTCCATCTCTTGATTCTTATCCTCCTCCGCATGACCCTCAAGGGCCACATGGGCCTTCCAAACATGCCCCCCCCAGCCGCAGAAGCAGCGGCTGGGACGTTGTCGTGCCTCCAGCTGCCTCTCCTGCTGTTTCTGTCGGTTCTGCTGCCACCGGACCTCCGATTCCGGGCCGTCCGGGCTTGCCTGGTCTGGCCCCCGGCTCCGTACCTCCTCCCGGACCTGGAGGACTGGCTCGGGCGGTTGGGGCTGCAGGTGGTGCGGGGTCCCACTGGAAGGGGACGTTGGCCAAAGGGGGGATTCTCGTATGCCATGCGCGGGCGATTCCCATCGGTCCCGGCATCTCTGCACCCATGTATGTCGTCAGCACAAACAGAAATCCAGCAATTTCGTGTGTTCTTGATTTCCTTTTTGTTTTTTTTTGTTTTTTTTTTTTTCTGCTCTAATATCCAAAACCCGCCGCCATCACGGCTGGTTTCTGCACTCCTGCTCCCTGACCCCAGGCCGGACGTGCTGAACTGCTCGGCGCGCACAGGGCCAGACATACTAACACCTCCCTTCCTCTCCTCCCCTCGCTCCCTCTTGTTCCCACCCCCTTTTCCTCTCCTTCCTCCTCTACCCCTCCTCTCCCCCGAGGCCGGACGTGCTGAACTGCTCGGCGCGCACAGAACTGGATACTCTTGCAAAGGGCAGCAGCGGATTTTGGAGTGGTGGCCATCATTCCGGAACCACAGCCGGACGTGCCGCCGTAGCACGACCTCGTTCAGTATCTGGGGGAGAAGCGCCCCTTTCAACCCGCTCCCCTCACACCCTCTCTCCTTCATCCCCTTCCCCTCCATGTCCCTTCCCTGCCCCCTCCCTGTCCCTCTCCCTGCCCCCTTACTGCCCCCTCCCTGCCCTCTCCCTGCCCCCTTACTGCCCCCTCCCTGCCCTCTCCCTGCCCCCTTACTGCCCCCTCCCTGCCCTCTCCCTGCCCCCTTACTGCCCCCTCCCTGCCCTCTCCCTGCCCCCTTACTGCCCCCTCCCTGCCCTCTCCCTGCCCCCTTACTGCCCCCTCCCTGCCCTCTCCCTGCCCCCTCCCTGCCCTCTCCCTGCCCCCTCCCTGCCCCCTCCCTTCCCCTCTCTGCCCCCAGGCCGGACGTTTTAATCTGCTCAGCGCGCACAGAGCTCGACACGCTAGTGAAGCACGTGTGGGCAGCAGCAGACGTGCCGCCGTACCACGACCTCGTTCAATACCTGGGGGAGAAGCAAGCGCCCTCTCATCCTGCTCCGCTCACTCCCACTCTCTCTCCCCTCCTCCCTCCTACTCCAGGCCTGATGTGCTGAACTGCTCGGCACGCACAGAACTGGACTCTCTCGCGAAGCACGTGCGGGCAGCAGCGGATTTCGGAGTGGTGGCCATCATCCCCGAGGCACAGCCGGACGTGCCGCCCTACCACAACCTCGTTCGGTATCTGGGGGAGAAGCGCCCCTTTCAACCTGCTCCCCTCAAACCCTCTCTCCTTCATCCCCTTCCCCTCCCTGCCCCCCCCCCCCCCCCTTCCCTGCCCCTTCCCTGCCCCCTCCCTGCCCCCTCCCTGCCCCTTCCCTGCCCCCTCCCTGCCCCCTCCCTTCCGCCTCCCTGTCCCCTCCCTGCCCCCTCCCTGCCCCCTCCCTTCCGCCTCCCTGCCCCCTCCCTGCCCCCTCCCTGCCCCCAGGCCGGACGTGTTAAACTGCTCAGCGCGCACAGAACTGGACACGCTAGCAAAGCACGTGCGGGCAGCAGCGGATTTTGGAGTGGTGGCCATCATCCCCGAGGCACAGCCGGACGTGCCGCCGTACCACGACCTCGTGCAGTACCTGGGGGAGAAGCGCCGTGCGGGAGTGGCGAAGCTGCCTGACGGCTCCACGCTCTTCCTCGTCCCACCGTCCGACTTTGCCGTTTCCGTGCTCCAAGTGCCTAGAAATGACTCCCTTTTCGGCGTTTACCTCACCGTCGCTGCTCCTGCTGCTCCTCCTCTCGCTGTGCCTGCTGTTTCTGCTGTTCCTGGTGCTCTCGCTCCACCTGCGCTCTCCTCCGGTCCTGCTCTGCCTGCAGGCGCTGCAGCTGCAGCTGCTGGGATGCTGCCAGCTGGGATGTTGCAAGGTGCCCCACCAGGGCTGGTTTCTCCCAGTCCTCTTCCTCAGGTGCCCCCACTTCCTCTCCCGCACCCAGGGCTGATGCCCCAAGGGCAACCAGGGAGACCTCCTTTGCCTCCCAACCAGCAGGGTCACAGTCAGCAGCAGCAGCAGCAGCAGCAGCAGCAGCAGCAGCAGCAGCAGCAGCAGCAGCAGCAAGCTGGAGCCTCGTCGTTCAGGTGGCAGCAGCAGCAGCAGCAGCAGCAGCAGCAGCAGCAGCAGCAGCAGCAGCAGCAGCAGCAGCAGCAGCAGCAGCAGCAGCAGCAGCAGGTGGTGCA